TGTAAACATTCTTGTGACCTGATGTTGGCGCCCACTGTCTGGATGGCCGTTCCGTCATACCTAGCTGCTAATCCGCTACCTCACTATAGCTGCAGATCCACCACGTGGTCCGGGTAGTCCTTCAGCTCACACAGGGTGTTGGAGATGGTTCTTGTTCCTCATGTGATGTAGTTAGGAATTCATAATTCCTCACTTGGGTGGAGTAGGGAGTCCTCATTTCTCTCCTGACGTAGTTTGGAGTCTTTCTTGGCTTTTCATCCAGTGTTGGTGGTTGTGAGTGTATCGCGGACTGGGTGTGTCTGGTCCGGTCAGGTCAACATTGACCACTAATCACGATTGTTGCTGTAACAGTTGTTTCTTTGTTTCAAATTGAAATTGTCACTTTTGTATGTCAGTTGTGGGTTGATCGTCAATCTTTGCACTGTACTGCTTGTTGGTGGGAGAATGTTGATAAATCCAGATGGGGAAAGGGATAACCCGACAAACCAGGCTGGCAGCTGTCTCCATGGTCAAGAGACCACGGCTGCATCAGCGGGCAGCGCCGACATCCTCACCATATGAAGGCTGCGTGTGTGTGTGTGCTACAGATGGCCCAGTTTCACATGGTAACTTCCTAACATTATAAAGAATAGCATTACACACCTACACGTCATTGGCAAATACTTGTCAGCATCTCGTAGCACCATACCACTAGAATCACCATATTAAAACGATAAAGTGTTGTATGTTGACACCATTAAATTAACGCCGTCAATGGACGGCGGCAACTTTTTGTTAATGCCGACGCCATAAATTTTTTGGGCAGGTGACGCAGTCAACTTTTCACCCGAGCGGAGCGTCAAGCGTCAGTTTGTTCTTTAACTTCTAAAATTTTCAATTTTTCCAAGTTCGATTTTCAATTATCTTGTTATAAAGACGACCGGGAAACATTTTGCCGTGCCTGCCGCCCGCGCACTTGCGCAGCTTTCTGCACGAATGAAAAAGACAGTGACCTTTCAAGCATTTCCTGGGGGAGAAACCTTCGAAAAAAACTGTTGACAAGGGCACCTTCCCCAACAAGGCCATGAGGGAGTTGTTCATCAAATACAACACCCCCATCCCCTCTCGTGCTGCCGTGGAGCACATGTTCTCCTTGGGCAAGGACGTCTTGAGGCCCAAGCGCAGCAGAATGAGCGACAAGCATTTTGAGATGCTAGTATTCTTGAGGGGGAACAAATGAATAATTAAAATTATATTATATAAATCATAATAAATGATTAAGAATGAATGAATATTTTTTGATTTTGCATGTTACTCCCATACACAGGAGAATACGCATTTCGGGGCTGCATTTGTACGTCACTGAAAACTCGTTGACGCTAACGGCGTCAATTTATGAAATAGTATACTCCGACGCTGACAGCATCAAATTTCTAGGTTGTTTATGCTGGCGGCGCCACTTTTTTTCGTTGATGCATACAACACTGGGTTTCATTATATGCAATTAATGCCTTCATGAAATGTAATGTGCATATAAGAGCAGTTGAATCACCTAGAAATGTGTATCAGCTTAAATTTATATGCCGGATTTGGAAAATAATTATACCCCCCGTATAAGAAATTGGTCGACATCAATCATTGACTGGCACCTCTCTGGTCGTCTGGCTAGGTGTTCAACGTGGAAGAGTCTGCGACTGTATGTAGGTAATTGGTGCCAATGGAGTGGCATGTACTTGGGAACTGTGTACGTGGGTACAGTATTATACACTAATGGAAAAAAACAATTGGTTCCGGGACCCCTCCAGGTAAAGACCATGAACCCAAAACTGGTTTTCACAGCACTTTCTCTGCACATAACCTCTATGAAAGTTACCCTCAGTTAAATATGTGTACCTTCAGTTGTATAAGGTGATTAATAAAACTGAAATAAGCCCTTAAATAAAAATAATACACTTACCCGGTGGTCATGGAAAGGCCAACTTGAGTGACGGTTTCCAAGGCTTGGAGTTGTGCTCATCAGATGCAGAGGGGCCAGGCTGAGCTGTAGAGGGACTTGCCAGAGCTGCAGGGGGGCTAGGCTGAATTGCAGAGGTGACTGGCTGACGTGCAGAGGGGCTAGGTGCAGTTGTAGACTGGCCAAAAGACCGTGTGTTGGTAGACTGGCATAGCTGATTGATATAGCTTGTGTAGAGGTCTTTGTAAGGCTGGAGGATGCGGTCAATCTCCAGCGGCTGTGACTCCCTCTCTGCCAGGTGTGGGTTGGCCTCCTTTAACTTTGCCTTGAGGGTCTTGGCTACTTCCAGGATCTTTGCTGCATCCTTGGGCATTAACACTCTTGGTGCCTTCACTTCTTCATCCTTGATGTCCTCCACTCTCTCTAATTCTTCCACATTCTCCTCAGCCATTGGCTAAGCTTCTCCAGCATCCAGCATCTCATTCACCTCGCAGCTCATCCAGCACATCTTCACCAGGGGGCACCTCATTGAGATCACTTTCACTTTGGTCACTTTGGCTGTGGTAAGCTCTTAGGAGTGGCTTCCACGCCCGAACAACTTGTGCCTTGGTAATGTTCTCCCATGCAACCACTGGATTGTCCACCACATTTCTGATAGTGTAACACTTCTACCAGTCTTGTATCTTCTGCCTGTGTTTTTCTTCACCTCTGCTGCTCTGCTGTTCCCCGTCTGTCTCCATTGCCTCCTCGAATGTCACATTTGTTGCCTCTCGCAACTGACGGTAGGTCAAAGAGAAGTACTTTTTCTTGAAGGAGACAATTATCTAATGATCTAGGGGCTGCAGGAGTGACATTGTGTTCTTGGGCAAAAAAAAAAAACAACCTTCACATTGGGGCGACATTCACTTAGAATTGCTGGATGACCAGGTGCATTGTCCAAACACAGGAGAACGCGATGTGCCAAATTTTTTTCTCACACAGTATGCATTCGTCCCGGGCACAAAGTCCTGGTCAAACCAGTTAAGAGAGATCTTGCCGTTGACCCAAGCTTTTTTGTTGTACATCCACGTGACCTTCAGTGACTTCATGTTGACATTGTTATAGCCCCTCGGCCTTGCACAGTGGTACACTGCAAGCATAGGAAGCTTGTGATCCCCTGTAGCATTGCAGGTCATCATGAGGGTGATCCTGTCTTTAGCAGGCTTGAATCTCAGCACAGCTCTCTCCTCCTGTGAGATAAAGGTGCTGGTGGGCATACGCTTCCACAGCAGCCCAGTTTAAATCACAAGTGTAGATTTGGTCGAGTGTGTAGCCTTCTTCCACAATAAGCTTCAGAAATTCCTCATGGTAGGCGTCTGCTGCTCCGATGACGGCACTTGCTCTCTCTCCAATAATCTTGAGATGGTGCAGCTTCTCCCTCTGCTTGAATCGGCTAAACCACCCCTTTGTAGCTCCGAAAGGTTTGGCATCTTCACTGTCAGCATTCAGTTTTTCGTAGTAGACTTTTGCTGTCTGAAAAAGCATTGCCGAGTTTTTTCGTAGTAGACCTTTGTTGTCTCACAGAGCATTGCTGAGCTGACTGGCATCTTCTTCTTGGTCTGTTGGTCAAGGTACTGAGACAGCAGCTTCTCCATTTTGCCATGGTCGACTGTAGCCTTCCTTCTATGACGAATGTAGTCATGAGCAGAATCTTTAAAGACCTGAAGTATTTTCTCCTGGTTTTTCCTGGCTGTCTTGAGGGTCGATTCATTGACTCTAAATGCACAGGTCACTGCCACCACTCTCTCGCCATTGTCCAGCCATTCTGTTATCTCCTCCTTGTGTGCCAGGGTCATCGACTTCACTCTTCTGCCTGGCTGGGCAGGTGCTGGAGTCCCAACAGCAGTAAGTGGGGTAGCCATGGTAACTGTCACAGCCAAAAACACCTAAAAAATACAGGAAAAAGCAAACCGCTGTAGTGCCTTGAGGAGAGGAGGACTGGGACCGGCGTCCACGTCAATGGTGATGTCACGGAAATTTACGCCCACATACTTGGGACCCCCGCGTACTTTGGAATTTGGGTTGCATGGCACTGATGCACGTAGTTGGGTTCCGTGCGGTTAAAATCCGCATACTTGGGGGGTACACTGTACAGTACAGTACTGCATTGTAATATGTGGAATCCTTGGAGACTACAGCTTTGCTATATTCTCAAAAAGGACTGTGTATTGAGAGAGTTGTTTATGTATTGCTTGATACTTGCTTATCAATTTTTTTTAACATTAATATTAATTAAGTATAATATGTCTGTTGATATAGAAATGTAGATTACAGGTACTGTACTGTACTATACTTATATAAAATTGTGAATAAAATAAAATTAGATTATACAAATGCCAGGAAAAAGTGGTACTGTCAACATCAGAACTGTACTGTGTTGATATAAGCTATCTTTTAATGTGGATTTGATATCAAAGTTATCATTTACATTATTGTCTATCTTTTATACATCCAGAGGTTTCCTCTCTCTCTTGTATTCCTTCAGTAGGAGCCTGAGGGTATGTGCTGTATGATAATACAGGTAGTAGGCTACCAAACAGGGAGGTACTACCGCCTGGGAAGATATTGGAAGCATAATGTATTGTCTAATGGTAGACCCTGCTGCCATATGGCATCACTAAAGTTGTGACCAAGTCCCAGGTTGCTGATCTGACTTTCTGCCTCATTTACAAACAGTTGCAGGGTCTCAATTGTTGCTCTTAACATTGACAACAACAAACATACAGTATTTTGTTTCTCACTCTTGATTTTTTTTTAATTTTTGTATTTCTTTATGGTTCTTTATTATTATTATTATTATTATTATTATTATCATTGTTATTTTATTATTTTTATTTTTGTATTGTTTATTAAAATTTTTACTTACCTATCTGAATTATTATTATTATTGTTATTATTAATAATATTATTGCATTCCCCCAGGTCCTAATGTGAGTAAGTGACCTGTGCCCGGGTGTGGGCTAATCCCCGTAAAAAAAAAGGGTACTGAAATTAATTCTTACACTGTAGCCTGTCTTTCTCCTTTCAGGGATATTTGGTCAACTGGGATGTACAAAAAACAATATGGGACTACATGTTTGGAAAAGATGTATTCAATGTGAATCACTCCAACACCACGATGATCATCACTGAGCCATATTTCAACTTCACCAGCACTCAGGAAGCGTTGAGCGAGATATTTTTTGAGGAGTATGATGTAGATGCCTTACTTAGAATTAACGGTATGTATCTTTTTATTGCCGTAGTATATCAGTTAATTTTAAATCATTTCAGGTTATAGTGTGGTGAAGGATTTGATATCATGTTAGAAAATTATGATTTGAAGACTAAAGCATTTCATTTGTTACGACACAATTGTACTATCTTTGTAATTAAGAAGATGGAGTAGGTTAAACAAATATTATGTTGTTTCATATATGTAAAACAGAAATTACCTTCTTCCCTCTCTCTGGATGGCATTTCTGCAATTGGTGTATATATATTTATGATGAAGTCAGCCCTCCTTTGATTGGGATAAAAGTATTGTACAGTATATAAATGAATGGAAGGGGAAAAGGGGGTGTATGTGACCTGCTCACATTGCTGATGAGTGAAATATCCAGATTATTTGGTCAGTGTTAGGAAATGTAGTAAAATATGAGATGGGGAGAGCTTGTAAGAAATAACATTAGAGTTAAGAACCTGACAAGAAAGACGAAAGGAAACTATGCTGCATGGAGAGCTGCCTTCAGGTAACAGCGACTGACCCATGCATGGAAAATGACTGTAAAACGTTGATGATTATGATACATAAAATTTCCTGATAATTAAGTGTCTATATACCGTATATATACAGTATATATAATATATAGGCCTATATACTACATAAGAATATTATACAGTATGTACATTGAAAAATAGTTTTGAGTTCCTTATTACATAATTACATGGGGCAAAGATAAGAGTCTGAAGAGAAGAAAGAGTACTGTATGAGAGAGAAATAAATGAGATACCTTAAGAGAAAGTTGTAGAAAATAAAAATTTAGAAAGTTTCCAAAATTATAAGATGAAAATATAATGAATTAGATTCACCATACTAATTTTGAATATAAAACTGTTACCATGTTTTACATTATTACTGTATTTCCTTGGTTTCTCATAATCCTCCATGAAGTTTTTCTGATTTGCAGCTGGTGACCTTTCTGTACACAAGTATCATCGTGACCGACCACGGGAGCTCTGCTGTTTATTAGTGGAGTGTGGCTTTAGTTACACACACATTGTACCTTACATTCAGGGCAAGAAACAGAAGGATGCCATCTTGAGGGTAGATGTTGGTGGGAAAGTGCTCACGAATCACCTTAAGGAACTTATATCTTACAGGTACAAAGGTGAAGCTTAATTCAGCAGTCCTTAGTAGTTCTGTTAAATTTTTCTTATCTTCTTTTGTTTTAGATTGTTGTTTTATGACCTTGTAACTGTCTTCGGTGATTTCTGTATTATTCCTCAAAGTCTAAGAGGTAAAAACCACAGTAAATCTTGAATGGGATTTGGGTGTTGGTTGATTCTGCACTACTGACTTCAGCCACTTAGGCTTTGATTGGCTGAGGTCTACATGACTTCAACAATTTAATTGCATTTTCTTCACTCTCACCATTATAGGTTCCAAGGAGTAGGAGATCATATTATGATCTACAGAGGCACTACTGGATCCCAAAGGCCTTTTCTAAGATATTTTTACATTTACAGTACAATACTGCATTAGGGAAGCATTGTTTACGAGTACAGATGTGTTTCTAGCTTTCTTGGCTGAATAATATCCCTTTTTAATATCAGGCAACTCAATGTTATGGACGAGACCTACGTGATCAACCAGGTGAAGGAGGATGCGTGTTTTGTGTCTCTTGAATTTAATGCTCACATGAATATAGCCAGAGGTGGTAAGAAGGAAAACACAATTGCAAGAGACTATGTCTTACCAGATTTCACTACAATCAAGCGTGGTTATGTTAGATCACTTGAAGAAACTACAGGAAAGTCTGCTGGTGGTGAGCAGGTAGGATTCTTGATGCTTTTCGTTATGGGTACAGAACTAATTTTGTTGTCTTAGCATGCTTTTGACAACAAGAATATGTTAATGAGAGTACAGTACAGTATTTAAATTCTTCTTTGCTTACTGAAAATAAATTGAAATTGGTTGGATACTACAGTAATATATATTTTTTCTTTTATATTAAGTTACAAATGTTTCCAACACATGATGTAGATGATGACTGTGATAATCTTATTGTAGAAATACAGATGATGATGCAACCCTTGTCATAGAATGCATTCTTTACTGATTGAGCATTCACCTAACACATTAAAAATATCCAAAAAATAGTAGTGCTAATGGCATAAACAACATAAGTGATTTATAATTTAGTTTGATGCAATATTGAAGTTGCAAAGAAAATACCAGTTTCTTATACAGTCAGTCCCCAACTTACGACGGGATTAGAAACCGACGACCAGGCCGTAAGTCGAAAATGCGAAAATAATACATAGAAAATCTAAAATGGGTGTCTGTTTTTCTTCTCAGCACCACGAGAACTCTCACTTTTACGCTTGCCAGCCATTTTAAATGGAATTACGAACAATTTTTTGTCAGTATACAGCGCGATCACTAACGTCGGGACTCGAAAATACTTAATTTGAAATTTTTTTGTACGACTGCGGCGGTCATATGTCCGGGTGGTCGTAAATCGAGTAGGTCGTAAGTCGAGGAGTACCTGTAATTCAATATTACTTCTGAAAATGCAGTTTGGTAAGAGTTGGATTTGGAGAATACGATTGCTTGGTTAACTGGAAATAAGATTTCCTAGTAGGCCATGTGACTTTGGCTCTATAGTTGTCTTACTGTTCATTAGATCTTGCAGTCAGATCATAAAAGGTGAACAAAGGTACTGCACCGGCATCCATTTTACTTTTAAGGAATACAATAATATCTCCGTCAGCCGGAATTCCTCAAACCCGGAAATCTCCGATAGCCGGAATTGAAATTTGCTCGGAAAATCATTCCCCTAGGTTGAAAATAGAGAGAATTTTCTGAAAATGTCTTGAATAAAGATGAAAGTTAAGTATTGGGGGGGGGAGGGGGGCATAATGTGACTCAATGTCAGGTGGAGGTAGGGTGAGGGATTAATGGTCTATTACTGACCTTCTGATGGAATGTCTGGTCACCCTTTCTTGGGTGGGGGATTAGTGGGTCTCATGACCTGAAGACCTGAAAATGTCTTGAATAAACACGAAACCTAAGTATTTTTAGTGAGATTGTGATAAGTATAAGTATAAATGAGCAAAGTTGTATCCCTTCAATAGTGGCATCCCACAGGGTTCTCTTCTTTCACCAACTCTCTTTCTTCTTTTTATCAATGATTTACTTCACTCTACAACTAATTCTATCCATTCTTACGCTGATGATTCTACTCTTCACTTTTCCTCACATTTTCCCCTTCCTCCTAACTCTCAAACTAGATCTGTTTCTAGAACTGATATCATTACTTCTATCAACGTGGATCTGTGCAGCATCTCTGAATGGGGAGATACAAACTTGGTTAAGTTCAATAGTAACAAAACTCAATATTTACCAATTACACTTTGTAAAGTAGACGATCTCCCACCAATTACATTTCAGGACGCTATCATCCCCCAAATTCTGAAATAAATATGTTAGGCCTCACCATTTCCTCCAATATGTCCTGGAAATCACACATCCTTAGTATAACTAAAGCTGCCTCCCGAAAGTTGGGAAAGCTGTACAGATGCCGCAGCTACTTCACTCCTGAGCAGTTGCTCCAAGTATATAAGGGATTCATTCGTCCTAACTTGGAGTACTGCTCTCATATCTGGGGTGGCTCTTCTTCTGTCCAACTATTAGATAGGGTGGAATCAAAGGCATTTCGTCTTATTAACTCTCCTCCTTTAGTCGACAATCTCTCTCCCCTTTCTCTTCGCCGCAATGTTGCTTCACTCTCTCTCTTTTACAGGTACTTTAACGGGCAATGTTCAGGGGATTTGGCATCCTGTGTACCGCCGGTAAGGCCGTGGGCTCGTAACACACGTCTTGCCCACGGTGCCCACCATTTCTCTGTGGATATCGGTCACACGAGAATAACCCGTTATAGTACCTCCTCCTTTCCTCACACAGCCAAACTGTGGAATGCTCTGCCTTCTTCTGTGTTTCCATGCTCTTACAATCTGTCTCACTTTTAAAAGCTGGTTTTCCGGCATCTTCGTGGTGTAGATTAATACAGTATAACCTTTTTTTCTATATTTTCAATTTCTTTCCGTTCTTTTTTTCGCCCCCCAGGCTCCGTTGTGGGTCGTTTGACCTGTGCCCGGGTTGGCTAATTTCCGTAAAAAAAAAAAAATAAATAAATAACATTTTAAAATATGGGGTGAGAAAGGTTTGGTAATTAGAGAGATGGAGTGGAAAGGAGTGGTAACATGCACCAGTGTTGCCAAGTGATAAGCTCCTCGACAGCTGATCTTTTAATTCGCCTCCATGCAGTCACACAACAAGACCTTCACTTGATGCTTGTTGTCTTAATTCCTCTGTGTGTGTGTGTGTGTTGCAAAATAAGTGATGTTTAAACTCAAATTAATCGCTCTCTTACAAGAACTCTAGCAATACAAGTTATATTCTCATAAGTCAAGTCAATGACATTTTATAAGTGTTAATCTATCCTCCATGGTGGGGTAAAGTGGCCACCCCACGGGTCTTCTCACTGTTTGTCTACTCTTCATGATACAATAATGTTTATTTGTTTTTCATTAATTAGTACAGGTACATTACTGTAATAATCTGTGCTTATTAATACTTGTATCCTTCATATACAACACAGTACAGTATAGTACTATGTATATACCTCATAGGTAAAAAATAATGTCATTCAAGACATATTCAGGTCATAAGACCCACTTATCCCCCACCCAACACTGGGTGACCTGATGTTAGTAACGTGACCCAATAATCTCCCACCCAACCTTCATCGCAAGTGTTAAAATGTGATTAGTTATGTATTACAGTCAATTGAGGAAAGTGTGTATCAGAGCCATGACCGATTGCCCGAGCTACTAACGAGCTGATCAGTGGTGAAGAGGATAAAAGTAACACAGGTCTATTCACGCTCATATCATATAGAGCTTTTGTTTTTTTAAATATATTTGTTTATCCAAACTTTTAGATAAAGTATTCAGGATTATTTTGATAGAAAAATGGTGTCTAACGAAATTAGAATTGATTTTACTGACTCCGGTATCAACATTTACGTTTTTTTTTTATAAAAGAATGGAATTCCCATCACTATATCACATAGAAATATTTTGTTTAAGGATATCCTATTGTAAATATTTCATAGATAATTTATTAAGGATCATTATGTTATCAAATTCATCTACCTATTACAATTTGCCATGCTTGAGTGAGGAGGGGGGAGAAGTGACCATGCAACCCATCCCCCCTTCACCCTCCAAAAAAGTTCATCTACCACACTCTTCAGCCACACCTCACCATCACAGCCTCCAACACCACTCACATATCCCTAACAAGGGAATTAAGACAACAGACATAAGGAGTGAAGGTCTTATTGTGTGACAAATTTGCGTGTGTGACTGCGAGTTAAATATCAGCTGTTGAGGAGTGCTTGCCAGCACTTATTTCCACTCCATCTCTCTAATTACTTCACCTTTCTGCTTTCTCACTCCATATTTTAAAATGTTATGTAATGTAATGTTGAAGCGATACAACTTTGCTTGTTTATACTTATACTTTTCACAATCTCTCTAAAGATTCTTTAGGTTTCGTGTTTATTCAAGACATCTTCAGGTCATGAGACCCACTAATCCCCTGGCCAAGAAAGGGTGACCTGACATTACATCAGTAGGTCAGTCATATGAGACCACTAATCCCATACCCTACCTCAACCTGATATTGCATCAGGTCAGATACACAAGACCCACTAATCCCCCACAGCTCCAAGGGAGTGGAAAATACCAGTCTTTGTTGTAACACACAGCTTCATTTACGCCTATATATAGATTTTTAATTTTTAAATACAGTTCCTCCTCGACTTACGACCACCCGCACTTACGACCTGCCTCAATCGTACCAAAATTTTGTCAAATTACGTATTTTCGAGTCCCAACTTCAGTACACAGACAAAATTTTCGTTTGTAATTCACTTTAAAAGGGCTGGCTAGCTTAAAAGTGAGAGTTTTGTGGAGCTGATAAGAAAAAGAGACAGCCATTTTAGAGTTTCTATGTATTATTTAAGCATTTTCGACTTACGACCATTTCGACTTATGACCTGGATTTGGGTCCCTAACCCCGTCGTAAGTCGGGGAGGAGTTGTATATTTATTTTACCAAACTTTTAAATAAACTTTTATGGATTATTATAGTAAAGAAATGGAGTTTCTAATTTAATTAGAACTGCATATACGGAACTCCGGTAGTTTAGACTCAAGGAAAACCTCCCCAGCACCCAGAAACATTCTGGGGAAGTGGGCTAGTGTCTGTGTGTGCAAGAGGTCTAGTTTAGACACTTGGAATTTTTCCCAGTAACCGGAAAATATTCCGGGGATAAGGAATTTTCTGGGTTTGATAAAGTCGTCTGGTTAGCTGGAAATCTCTCATCCCCGGAAGTGCTCTACACCAATTGTTCCGGCTAACGGGGATATCACTGTAGTAATTGAATTTCATGTTGAAAATTGGCTGTCTCAGTCATGGTAATACAGTTTGCTTTCTGAATATGATAGACAAATGTAAAAACAAACAAAAAATATTGTATATTTTCAGTTGGTCCGTCTCAACAATGAACGCTTTAGTATTCCTGAGCTTCTCTTTTATCCAAGTGATGTTGGAATTCAGGAGATGGGTATTACAGAATCAATTGTTCATTCTATAAACAAATGTCCTGAGGAAACAAGGCCTCATCTCTACAGGTAAGTTAACTCTGTGTATCATATAATTTTTTTGTGAATCCTTGTCAAATGTAATATAAAAGTCTGTGTAGACAATATTGCCCAACCAGAAAAAAGACCTAACCATGAGGTATACCAATTAAATTATCTCTTTTGATTATCTGTAATTGTTTAAGATAATCTTATAAGTACCAGGCATCCCCTAGGTTATGGAAGGGTTCTGTTCCTGAAAATCTTTCCATGACGTGAAATTCCTAAGGAAATTTTTTGAGGCCCAATAATGTGAGACAGCACATATATGTAATATATGTATGAAATTAGATGGTTTTAACCACATACAATGAGTCATTACAGGTTGACAATCCTTTATCCGAAATTCCGAAAACCGAAAGTTTTTTTGTGGGGCAATTTTTTTTTTTTTTTTTTTTTTTTTTTTCCTAAAAGGATTAGCCCACCCGGGCATAGATCACTGACCCACATCAGTGCCTGGGGGGCGAAAATGTAATAGCAATAATAATTATACAGTAATAATAATAATTATTCATAGTAAATAAAAATTTTAATAAAAATACGCCAAAATAAAATAATATGATAACATTAATAATAATAATAATCATAATAATAATAATAATAATAATAATAATAATAATAATAATAATAATAATAATACAGGAGTACTGTAATAATAAAATAATAATAATGATAATAAAGAAATACAGTGAACCCTCACTTTACGCGGTTAATTCAACCCCGGCAGCCCGCGTAAAGTGAAAGCAAGTGAACAACATAACATATGGGTTTTATTGAAATAGAGACCGGCCGACCCCCAAACTCCACTTTTTCAGACACATACCTATGTTGTAGTAAAATAACTTTAATTTTATGATGGTATGCACACACAATTAATTAAGAGAAATATCAATAATATTATTGGGTTTTTACTTACATTAGTAGAAAAGATGGCTGAGCACGGGGATGGGGGGTTGGTTCGAGGCAGAGGGCAGATTATTGGCCTCACCTGTACTCACTTGTATCAATTGTATCACTATCCACCACAGAGGCTTGCAGGGCCTCTTTGTCAAACCCTCAAAGTCCATATAAGTCCATATCCTCACTATCATTATCACTATCACTGACTTGGGCGGCTGTGGTGGGTGGCGGTGAAGAACTCGTTAATGTTTTGATGACTGGGCGACCTTGTGGCACCTGCTGCTCACGCTTCTCCGCGTCAAGGATACACATATACATGGAAAGTGAGCATTCCGGTTTTGCAGGTGCAGCGTGGCGATGGGAAAGCGCGTAAAGTGGGACCAGCGTAAGCGAGGGTTGACTGTACAAGAATGAAAAAAGATCAAAGTGAGAAACACGACTACAGACTAACAGATTATTATTATTATTATTATATTTTTATTATATTCTCCAGGCCCCAATGTGGGTTGGGGTGATCTATGCCTGCGGGCTAATACAACAAAAAAAAAAAAAAAAATCTAAAAAAAACGAAAAATTCCGAAATCCGAAATTCCTCTGGCCCCAAGGATTTCGGATAAGGGATTGTCAACCTGTAATGATGTACTGTAACATGATAATAAATGAACATAACACTGGAATGCCAGAAACAATGTTGACTGCTGCAGGAGGGGATGAGGTGAGGTTGTGGGATCAGTGTTACTGGGAGTTACCTCCTTAAAACATCAAGTTTATTGTTCAATGCAATTCCTTTATGGGATCTTTAATCACCACTGCTTTCACTTGAACTTGATTGTCTTTTTCCACTCATCTTGAATCAGGGTACACAGTAACACAATTGCATAACTGAACACAAATTGGGGAAAGAATTCAAACTGAGCAGTGCCATTGTTGTGGTTGCTATCAGCTGTTGAGGTGAGTTTCAGAATCCACTTAAAATAGATTTTATAATTTCGTTGAAGTTTTTTATTTTATTTTTTTTTCTATATCACGATTTTTTCTTTTGAAAATCTTAGTAATTAACCAGAATTCCATAAGGGCAAATACAATCCTGAACACAAGCTGGGGAAAGAATTCTAACTGAGCAGTGCCATTGTTGTAGTGGTTGCTGGCAACTGGGGAGGTGAGTGGCCTTCCAACCACCTTGTGGCCACCATAGAGAATCCACAGGAAATAACTTTACAATTTGGGTTAAAAATTGCAATTTTTTTCTTATGCATTTAAAAAAGTTACTTAAAATCCGTAAGGGCGGGTTTTTCTGTAACCCGAAATCATGGTTATAAATTCAAAATTCAGTAGGGGCAAAATTCTGTCGCCAGAAATTTCCTAACACGGGGGATGCCTGTATGCTAATGCATGGTCTAGCCACTGCATTACAGGATGAAAAGATTTAAAATGGAGAGCAAAAAATGTCAATGTGAATACCAAAGGCAAGTCAGTTTGGAATAATGAAAAAGTGAAGAATATTTTTCACAAATGGAATGAAAGCCCAAATTAAATTTGAGACAGTATCTATGATTGAGGATATTAGAAGCACGTAAGGTATTCTTGCATTGACTCTCAGGTGTTAGCTTAGAGTGTGACTTACCTGTGTTGCTGTGGTTGATACACAATTTCAACACAAGTATTACTTCATAGGGATGATGCCTTTACAGGAGCCATTTGTCACAATCTTTAATGAGTTATATCATCATTCTTCCCAAGCATGGAATGAACCTGTCAAGTCTCATTCTATGGGTTATATCATCATTCTTGCTCAGTCATAGAATAAAACATGACAGGCACTGTATTGAATACTTACATAAGCTGTATATCTTTATTTGTAAACATAATACAATATTTTGTCATTTACCTGTATGTATATTCAGATATGTTTTGCCATCACTTACAGAAACATACTTTTAACTGGTGGCAATTGCAACTTCCCTGGGTTTAAGGACCGAGTTTATAAGGATGTTCGGTCCATGTCACCTGATGAATATGATGTTAATGTCACTCTTGCAAAAAAGTAAGTTCAATTATGAGTGCTTTTCCAGTTATTGTATGTTTGATGGTTTAAGTAACTGCCTTTGGAAGAACCTTGGTACATCTTCCAAGATGTCCTCCATCTCTTTCTTCTTTAACTATATCCTCATTCTATCTCCTTGAAGTAATATACAAGGTTTGATTCTTGTTCTGGTTCCATCTAGCCTCTCAGCTTTGATGTGATTTTTTCTTGTCACAAGGTTCTGTTGTGTGAGTAATTGTTTGCTTTTGATTATCTTGCCAGAGCCTACCACTATGTAAAACCATATCACATCACTGAGATCCATTTCTAGTCTTTTACAAAATGTATTGCGGTAAATATTTTTTCTTGAATGACTTTCATATGCAGTGTTGTGTTTTGGTGTTATATTGGGTGGTTATTGGTGCTGTATTTTATTATCCCTTTTTGTATTTTTTCTATGATTAAAGGATTCTCTTTTGCGAATTTTGTTTTTCATTGGCTAACTTCATTTAACATGGATTTCACCATCATATAGTATTTCCATTCATGATAAATGTTATTCAGTTTTAAATATGGCAAAACATTTGTTAAACCTAAAGAGGGATTAGAGATTTGAATTCACCCTTTACCAGCCTATGATGATGCCTGGCATTTAATTTATTAAACATCAGGGCACCTTTAAATATACACTTTGTTTTTATAAAAGAACGAGAATTTCACCTTCACATTAGTACCCCCATGAGCCCTGTACCTTATTACCCAAAGCTTAAGCATTTTCATATCCTTTTCACATTAATTTCCATTGAAATAAAATTAACTTAATTTTTATATGAACGAGACAGACCCTTTTGATACGTAGTGTAATTCATGTAAAAGAAGAAACTTACAATGTTGTTCTTTACAGCCCATCCACCTATGCATGGAGAGGAGGTGCTGCCATGAGTAGGTCTGCACATTTTCCTGAGATGCTCGTGACAAAGAGAGAATGGGAGGAAGATGGCTTCACTGTATGTCAAGAGAGATTTAGTGTTTAAAGCGGTCTTGAAATTTTTACTTGAATTTTGTTTCATAATCTCATGATAATACCAGAGTTGCCAACATGGATAATCTGTACTGTATGTGAACAGTATATGGACAACTAGGAAATCAAGGAAAAAAGATCAATATTTTGGACAAAGAAACAGAATGATTCAAGATTCAATATTTTATTCAAAATCATCAACATATTACAGTATATCTATGATGTATGTTCGTTTATGTTTTAGGTGACTGCTAAGATTATATTGAAAATTTAAAATAATTTTTGAAAAAACATTACATAATTACTGTATACTGTACACATACTGTATACTGTACTGTACGTATTGCTCTACAAGCAGTGAAGACAATGTACTGTAAATAAATGTTTTTATTAAAGGTTTGAGTGAAATATATATTTTTTTAAGATACTGCATCAGAATTTATTTTGAAAAAAAAATTTAATTTGTTGGTACAAATTGAGAAAATGGATTACAGTAGGTGGCATGTACTGGTGTGTATGTGACCCTTTCTTGAACCTGATAACTGCAGCAGAGTGATTCAAAGATCGACCCCAGTGCGCAAAAAATATGTACAGTACAGTACTGTATACCGATAATAGAATTAACAAAACATTAAATATAAACTAAATACAGTACTGTGCTGTACAGTATCCTGTATAATAAGAAATAAAAAACAGTACAATACTATATTTTAACTTAAATATCAAACAGTTGATTGTAGAGGCAGTCGATGATGACATGCCATATTTTTTACAGAGTGCATTGGTTCTAATGCTTTCTTCGTGATTCATAATAATTTATGCACCGTATATTATCAATATGTGAACAAAATTTCAGAATGACCAATAATTTTAATGTAAAAATGCAAAAATATTCAAGAGACCAACTAACTGGTTGTTCAATCCACTGTAAACAAAGTTAAACTGAGAAGCGTTGGTGGGTGATTTGATCAGCTGATTGACACAAAAACTGTTCCCTGTACTGTAATATATTATCAATATGTTAATTAAAAACTAGATTGCCCAATAATTTTAATATAAAAAAATGCAAAAAATATTCAAGAGCACATCGGGGCCTAGGGGGGCGAAAATGTAATAATAATAATAATAATAATAATAGTAATAATAATAATAATAATAATAGTAATAATAATAATAATAAAAATAATACCTGTAATAATAATAATAATAAAGAACTGCCTCATTTACACACAATTGCAGGGTCTCAATTGAGTCGCCTAGTGTACGAATGATGAACTCGCCAAATAATAGTTTGAGGAAACGCACGTCAAAGTTTTAGAACTGTAAAATCACACAGCGCCATGGAATATTGATAGAATTGCCTCAGTTATGTTCTATATTGATAATTTTTGTGCGTAGAAGATGTGCATAATACAATGACAAGCCTGTTGTACCAAAAAATATTATAAATAGCGAGTAAAATAAATATTATTCTTCCCAAGCATTTCGAAACACACTGTAGTCTTTGTTTTCGTACATAACTTTGTACGTAATACGGCGCAAGGTCCTAGGTGGCCTCTCTTTAGCACGACACTCCTTCACATCTACAGAATTTACCAACTTGCTAATGTATTCATTTTGCTTGTTGTAAACCCCAAGCTTCCAAAATTCACTAAAAATTACATTGATTTTCTTCATTCCAACCTTATCAAAGCACAAACACTTGCATGGGACACCTATGGTACAATCGGGAACATCTTTCTTGGTATGCCTAGAAATGTAAGGTTTGCCGTGGTCTCACTTCCTTTTACAAACAACTTTTTTCCACTTATCTTCATGCTTTAAACACTTGTGTGATAGCCCAGAGGGGCCAGGCACATTATCACTTTCTGAAGAACTCATTATTAATCCACCAAAATGTCTATTTAATCAAAAAAACAGAGTTAAATGGAGCACTATCGATGAGAAACACATGCACGACACCGTATGTACAAACACTGGATTGGGTAATCGACGCTCATTGGCTGAGCAGGTGGGTGTAGCTGCCTCCCTGTGTTCCCATTGGTTGTGCGGCCCCAGCCGGGCTGTTGAGTTCGTCACTCCTACACTCACGCTTGGCGCGTTTTCGGACCTGACCGCGTGGTTCATTTCACCCCTAAATCCATACGAAAACAACGGGGAGTAGAGACAATCTCGCCACTTCCTGACTTCACAGTTGGAAAGATAAACCCTGGAAAATTCCGAAACCATAGAAAACGGATTTTTGGGGCACTGACGAGTTTGTCATTCGTACGCTAGACGCCTCAATTGTTTGTCTTACTATTGACAACACAACGTACATACTGTCGTTTCTCACTATTGATTGATTTTTTTAATTTTTTTATTTATTATTATTATTATTACAATATTATACTTTTTATTTATTTTATTAATTATTATTATTATTATTATTATTGTATTTCGCCCTATAGGCCCTGATGTGGGTCAGTGACCTGTGCCCGGGTGGGCTAATCCCCGTAAAAAAAAAAAAGTAAAGTTGTTTTACTGGTTTACAATTGGATAAGCATCTTTATAAACTAAGCAGTAATACACTTCAGCATAAATATAGACAATGTAGGTACAGTATATGGTGCACATAAGCCGTGGGAGTACTGTACAGACAGTCCCCAGGTTACGAACATCCGCCAATACGAACACGGTTAAACTAATTTACAGTTTTTTATTTACCTGATACTTTCATTTACTCTATTTTGTTATTCTAGTGCTTCTTTTCTCTTAAATTTAGTGATTTTAGAAATATATAAAGACTTAGGCTATGATATAGTGGGATTTTAAACATTGTTCTGTATGTACAGTACGAATACAGCATGTGTTATAACTTACGTACATTTCTTACCTAAGAACATCCCCAGGAATGGAACTCGTTCACAACCCCGGGACTGCCTATACTTTATACAGTTTCCTGTGTGCCGAGACAGTGCAGGTAAATGGAAATGGTAAACAGTAAGGTAACTTGATCAAGGATAGATAACAAAGCTGTTAGGTGTTTATTTCCAGGAGGGTCCTTTGCTCAAGCTTATACTTGGTCTCTAATCAGTAATAGTAAGTCTACAGGATTACTCTATTATTGAAAGTTTATTTGATAGAATTCAGCAAGCATTACATTGCTCTTGGACTATCCGAGGCTGGTAGATCTCTACTACAGTACCCTGTACTACATTCTGTGACTTAATATAAAAACTCTCTTCTCCTGCTGTAGCTTCATCTTTTATGCATTTCTTTGTTTTAACTTTGAATTGCTTAATACCGTAACTGTTTTTGCTGTGGTTTGGTAATGTGTTACAGTTTGTTATAGCAGTAAAGAAGAGTTTTTTGCTTAACCACAATCAGGTACATAAAATTATGTGATTCAGCCTCAGTTGCTTCACTCTATCCATTACACCTAACATGTTCAGTGTTTGAAGTACATGTACTTTGTGACCAATGCGATCACTTGCGTTCATGTCAAGAAGGAACCTCACTGCCTTGTTTTGAATAATTTGAAGCTTGGATTTTAGCTTCTGTTTTTGGGCAGAGTACCATGTCAAGCAGGAATAGTCCAAGTACCGTAGGTAGTAAGCAGCTATCAAACTGGGAGGTACTACCATCTGGGAAGATATTAGAAGCATAATGTGTTGTCCAATGGTAGACCCTGCTGCCATATGGCATCACAAAAATTGTGACCAAGTCCCAGGTTGCTGATCTGACTTTCTGCCTCATTTACACACAATTGCAGATTCTCAATTGTTACTCTTACTACAGGTTGACAATCCCTTATCCGAAATCCTTGGGGCCAGGGGCATTTCGGTTTTCGGAATGTTTCGGTTTTCAGAATGGTTATTTATTTATTTTTTTTTTTAATGTGTATTAGCCTACCCGGGCATAGATCACTGACCCACATCAGGGCCTGGGGGGCGAAAATATAATAAAAATTATAATAATAATAATAATTCATAGGTCTAGGTCGTGTTTCACACTTTTGATCTTTTTTTCATTCTTGTATTTCTTTATTACTATTATTATTTTATTACAGTATTATTGTTATTATTATTAATTTTATTATTATATTTTATTATTATTATTATTATTATTATTATCATCATCATTATTATTGCTATCATTATTATTTTATTTTGGTGTATTTTTATTAAAGATTTTATTTACTATGAATAATTATTATTATTATAATTATTATTACTATTACAATTTTGCCCCCCAGGCCCTGATGTGGGTCAGTGATCTATGCCCTAGTGGGATAATCCCTGTTCAAAAAAAAAAAAAAAATTGGCCCTA